AATAATCAGAAACCCTGTGGCAGTTTCTTCATCAAACCACCGATTTGAAAGTCAGAGGCCTTCTGGATGAGACCTTAAAGCGCTGTATCGCAGTAGACGTTAGCAGGATAAATATTCTTTACTGCTGTTGCAGTTAGATCCTTTCATATGTCAATCTTTTTCAATTTAAGCAAAAGCAATCCCTGTACATGAGAGAAATATTTTCAATGATATGTTAAGAATACATTGCGGTTATTTAAATATGCATAGCCAAATTGAATTTTTTATGTATATAAACCTGGATGTTTATTTTAAACACCGAATTTAAAGAAAAATTGATTGTATTCCATGGGAATGAAATATATGGAGATAACGAACAGTAGTCAGGCTCAAAAATCCATTCAAACAATACAAGTTTTAAAGCAGAGCAAACACAGACCTCTAAAATATTAGAGGTGGGATCAGGTGCCATGGAGGAGTGAGCATCCCCTGCCGACCGTTCACGCCCGCCGTGTGATACTTGTCATGATCGGGAAATAACGGAACAAATCTTCGACAATACAGTGTGCAAATAATACCCTAACAATCGGTATGAAAAGGGTCAGTCAGTATTTCACTTACTGATAAATTGTATTCGCTGACAAGGTCATTGTATCGACCATAGAACTTACAAAATGACGACTTTAAACGGAACTGCTGATATTCTTGTTTCATCAACTTGTTTGTCAATTACCTCGTTTTAGAAATTGTTCATACGTAGAGCCTGCTCTTGTGTATCGAATCACCTGCTAGATATAAACCCCGGATGCAGGTGATAAAGGTTTATTGCTGAGGTATATAAAATAAATCAGTATTTTTTTGTGTTATTAAATTCTATAATCCTCATATCTCGGTGGTTAATTTTATTTCCAAGGCTTAGAGATATGGGGGAAACTTGAATAGTGTCTTATTCAACATTTGTTTTGACTGTATATGCATATAACACACAGGTAATTGGTGTTTGGATTTATTTAAATATAATTCAACTATCTCAGAACTATTTTCAAAATTCCCGGAATGCCTCTAGAATTTAGAAATATCAGTGTCTGAATGGTTGTTCACATGTCTTAACTACAATATCCACTTTGTTCAGGGTAGGTTAAAAAGCTTGAAAAAGTTAAAAACCAATCATATATTATATCAATATTGCATATAGCTGAGTTTAACATTGGGAATTTTCACCCAAATCATTGTCAAACAATGGTTTTCGAGAGATGAGATTTTTAAATGTTACATTCAAGAACATGCAATATTTATTATATTATACTGAATTTTTTATACAGTTGCATATTACAGTGAACCTTGAGCGCATAAATTATGCACAGTCAATATTTTTTGGAATATCACCCGTTGTCAAGCAATGTGAGCGTTGACTGTTACTACGCTGGAGGGCGTGGCTTCATTATTCAGCGGTTAATAGTATTTTGAACAAATATTTCTCCACGAATCAGATTCAGCTTATTTACATGAAATTATAATATTAGGAATTATTTGCAGGATATATGGGTTTTAACGATAAGCAATCAATATTCGGAGACGTACGGTGCACGGTGCTGTAGGTGCAGCGTTATTTTCAAAGAACAAGCAATGTTAACAAGCGAGTGGCGCAGGTGCTATTACGGAGCCTGCATACCTTTACTCTCTTTACATAACAATAGATATACATTTGTAGAAATCAATACCAAAGTTCCTGTGATGTAACGTGGAAAAAAACTACAAGTATAAATTTAAAATCCACTAGGTGTGATTACTTGACATACACGTATTCAATAAATACAAGCTATACAATTTTTATAAAATTGTGTGTATGTGTTTTTAAATTACAGTTCTTTTATAAAGTGTAGATGCACATTGTATCTGACATGATGAACATGATTTACATGATGTAAAATTTCCGAATTAAGTAAAAAGAAATACATTTATAGCTACAAAAACTTTCTTAAAAAGATTCCTTGTGACAGAAAAAAAATATAACTACATGAAAAAAAAAATCTAACATAAAATCTTAATGTGTTTCCTGTTGCCAGCATGGCGCAGTGGTTAGAGTGTTTACTCTAGAGTAGAGGAGTAAGATGACTTTACTTAGGTCATGGGTTCGAATCCACTGTGCAACGTGAAAATCGGTCTTTCAGAAAACAGATGTCCCGTGTCGCAGTAGGTGCTGGCAAAAAAGAAATTTCTCACTGCTCAAAAGTCGTTAGTGTCGAGTACAGGTCTACATTTGCAGCACTCTAGCAGAAAGTTGTGGTGTTTCCAAATGAATAAAGAAACCTCGAAGGGACGTTAAACAGTAAACAAACAAAGGAATATTGTGTTTCCTAAATGACAAAAACATATAGTTTTCAATTTAGTAGTCGATCAATTTAACTACAAAGGGAGATAATGAATGAAATAAAGTATTTAAATATCTATTTTGGCATTGTATTCTTTTTGCTATTGTTGACTAGGATAGATCTACTTGTAATCGTACTCCTCCTAAAAAAAACATCAATAAGTATGGTTATTGATATTTTTAGCGCAACTTTCATGACTGTGACAAGAATATCAACATATTTAGAGGAATCAGAAAGACTGGAAAGTAATGCATTGAATTTTATTTAATGTTTACTAATAAAAAGAAAGATATCCAATTTCATATCTCATTTGAATTCATAGCAATTTTATATATCTCTTTCCATACTGACAGAAGCAAAAATAAACAAGAGGCCCATGGGCCACATCACTCACCTGAGTAACTTTGGCCATGCTGTTCTTTACAAGATTTCCCCCCTTTTAATATACCTATTGTGGCCCCGCCCTACCCCCGGGGTCATGATTTTAACAATTTAGAATCTACACAACCCCAGGATGCTTCCATATAAGTTTCAGTTTTTCTGGCCCAGTGGTTCTTGAGAAGAAGATTTTTAAAGATTTTCTTATATATTTCAATGTAAAACTTGGATTCCCTATTGTGGCCCCGCCCTACCCCCGGGGGTCATGATTTTAACAATTTAGAATCTACACAACCCCAGGATGCTTCCATATAAGTTTCAGTTTTTCTGGCCCAGTGGTTCTTGAGAAGAAGATTTTTAAAGATTTTTCTTATATATTTCAATGTAAAACTTGGATTCCCTATTGTGGCCCCGCCCTACCCCCGGGGGTCATGATTTTAACAATTTAGAATCTACACTACCCCAGGATGCTTCCATAAAAGTTTCAGCCTTTCTGGCCCAGTGGTTCTTGAGAAGAAGATTTTTAAAGATTTTTCATATATATTTCAATGTAAAACTTGGATTCCCTATTGTTGCCCCGCCCTACCCCCGGGGATTATGATTTGAACAATTTAAACTCAACACTACCCCAGGATGCTTCCATATAAGTTTCAGCTTTTCTGGCCCAGTGGTTCTTGAGAAGAAGATTTTTAAAGATTTTTCTTATATATTTCAATGTAAAACTTGGATTCCCTATTGTGGCCCCGCCCTACCCCCGGGGGTCATGATTTTAACAATTTAGAATCTACACTACCCCAGGATGCTTCCAAATAAGTTTCAGCTTTTCTGGCCCAGTGGTTCTTGAGAAGAAGATTTTTAAAGATTTTTCTTATGTATTTCAATGAAAAACTTGGATTCCCTATTGTGGCCCCGCCCTACCCCCGGGGGTCATGATTTGAAAAATTTATAATCTACACTACCCCAGGAAGCTTCCATATAAGTTTCAGCTTTTCTGGCCCAGTGGTTCTTGAGAAGAAGATTTTTAAAGATTTTTCATATATATTTCAATGTAAAACTTGGATTCCCTATTGTGGCGCCGCCCTACCCCGGGGGTTATGATTTGAACAATTTAAATTCAACACTACCCCAGGATGCTTCCACATAAGTTTCAGCTTTTCTGGCCCAGTGGTTCTTGAGAAGAAGATTTTTAAAGATTTTTCATATATATTTCAATGTAAAACTTGGATTCCCTATTGTGGCCCCGCCCTACCCCCGGGGGTCATGATTTTAACAGTTTAGAATCTACACTACCCCAGGATGCTTCCATATAAGTTTCAGTTTTTCTGGCCCAGTGGTTCTTGAGAAGAAGATTTTTTAAGATTTTTCATATATATTTCAATGTAAAACTTGGATTCCCTATTGTGGCCCCGCCCTACCCCCGGGGTCATGATTTTAACAATTTAGAATCTACACTATCCCAGGATGCTTCCACATAAGTTTCAGCTTTTCTGGCCCAGTGGTTCTTGAGAAGAAGATTTTTTAATGACCTCATCCTATTTTTGTATTTTCTTGATTATCTCCCCTTGTAAGGGGACTATGCCCTTTATTTTAATAATTTACACTCCCCTTCATCCAAGAATACTTTGTACCAAGTTTGGTTAAAATTGGCCCAGTGGTTCTTCAGAAGAAGTTGAAAATGTGAAAAGTTTACAGACGGACGGACAGACGGACGGACGGACGGACAGACGGACAGACGGACGGACGACGGACAACGGGTGATCAGAAAAGCTCACTTGAGCTTTCAGCTCAGGTGAGCTAAAAAAAATTCTGAAGTCGTACAGAGCACTCTCGCCAAGCAGTTATTTCGGGGTTTTTTTAGGATAAAAAAATACCATTATTAATGTTTTTTTTTAATTCTCAAAATTAATATATATATTTTTTAATCTTTTTTTAAATCAAAATTGTTCTCAACATATATCACAAAGATAATATGTTTTGTATAAAATGAAATCAGAATTTTAATGTCTATATAAAGAAAATGTTAACAGAGATTCTTTCCGGTAATTTTTCTACAAAGCTTTTACAACATAAATGATTTTGCAGCTTAAAAGGTAAAACTGGCAAGTATCCAAAGGAATTACGCTTTTCAACAAAAGACACAATAAACATTAACAAACGGACCTTCAAAAAGTGGAGGGGGTGCATATTGTATAATTATTTTTTTTTTTACATGTATATAGAGTATTAACTTTGAGTAATACTTTTTTTTTACATAAAACATACAAGTGAGCCTTTTTAAAAACAATACTGAGATCAGAATTTGACTTTCGTATCATGGTCAAACATGATTCGATAAGTAAAATGTATATACCATCAAAATGACAATTATAAGTGTAATTGTAGAATCGTTCAATAAAAAAGAATATCATTGTTTTCTATTGAATTAAGATTAGTTCATATCAACAGAATGGCCTTTTCAGTTAAGCCAAATCGTGTGCATATATTTCTTTTGAAGTGGTAAAATTGAATCCGCAATATTCTAGTTTCTATAGTATGGGTCCATTCCTGGGATTCCAATGGCTGTTTCACAGAATGCAAGTCCTTGCTTGACTGTTAAGACTGTATTAAAGGACAAAAAATAGATTTCAAAAGCTGCATTTCAAATTCAATTTTATCTTACTTGTACTTGATGAGGTTATCTTGATGAGCACCATATATGTGTAGCAATTTTAGAGGTTTACTATATACACGATACTTTAAAAGCAAAATAAACATTACATCTGATTCACAAACATTTCAATTGTATTAGAAAAAAAAAGAATCCAATATTATTATGTCGTTCAATTTATTTGATTTAAAAAATGAATACGATTAAAATTGTAATAATTATTATGGTATAAAACGAAGTATTGTCAACATTGATCATAAGTTGAATTGAAAAAAAAATCTATATTAACTAAAACATTCCTTTTTCAATTGTTTCAGTATTTTTTTTCAGAATTATTTGATATGATTATTTCTGTCTTTAATATTCCAGATACTGTGCAAGTACTAAATATAACCTGGTTTGTGTCGAATTCAATGAATTTTTGTAACTGGAGGGAGGTCTAATTAGTCTCAGATTTTTTTTTTTTTTTTTTAAGATAATTGATTTGACCTCGATGTTAGAATTGTAGTCTCGATTTCAGGAAAGCAGCAGCATTTTTCAAGTTAAGGAATGCGTCCGTTAGGTCAAGACCTATTAAGTGTATGCCCTCGCGAAAAGGCGATTTAATGAGGCACCTCAGAGTGAAACATGCAAACCTGTACACAAAAACACGGTAGAATTAATTCAGTACATTCTCTCGATAGTTTTTAAATGATGGCACTAAACAAAATTTCAGATTTGTATAAATGGTCTACCTAAGATGTGCAAATAGTATTCTGTTAAATTTATAATAAAATATATTTTTGACCGTGAAAAAAAATACTTAATCCGCCTCACACTGCACATGAAATGCGCCAAATTTTTACCATGATGACGTCATATCGACAAGTGACTTGTTATGTCTTGCTGTGTGTGATTTAACTAGCGACAAAAATGAATGTAGTGGTACGTTTGATGTAGGTCATTATTTTTATGCAGTTTAAAATCGTAAATTATTTAATTTTCGTTATTCTGAGGAATTGCTATATTTGTGTGATGTCACAATAAACATTTCCCTGTAAATTATGCCCCGCCCCTTTTATGCAGCCTTAACAGAGCTGCGTTAGATTTTTATCACGATTTATTACTTTTCACACAAACTGAATAAGGTTATCATACTCGTATAACAAATAATTTTCTGTCACAAAGCTCAAGTTTTGAAACTAAAACCGACACTACTGGTACGCTCTAAATCAAATCTTGAAATTTTCGCACAAAGGAATGGAAACGATCTATGTATTGAATTCTAATGGGACGAAATTCCATTGTAATTTCATTCAATGAGATGGAAAAGAGAATAAATGTAGAACGACCTCTAACTCATTCAGTCATTTCTATTTATAAAGACACTCGATGCAGTGATTTTCAGATAGAATCAAGTAGCTGAAGATATTTATGTAAATATTCATGAGAAAGAGTAATGTCATTAGCATACCTTGTGCCAGTACTGCAGCAGATTGTCACGATCTATATTGTGCTTTTCGTGATTTTCCTTATAGAAATTAAGGCAAACTCTTTCGTTCGTTTCTAGTTTTGCAACTGTTTCCTCATTCAAAAAATAATCTTCGTCTTCATCAGTAAGACCTATATCCTTGCATGCGTATCCAGTTTCGTACCCTACTTGCTGATGAAACGTTTGTGTAAGTTCCATAATTATGTTCTCTACATGTTTTCTGATTTCTCTTGTTTTATCTACAGAGAGCAGAATTTTCGTATCTGGTGAAAAAACTTGCAGTTGTAAGGATGATTTATTTACAGCAATAGCAATATTATGATCACCACCTTCTGCCATATAAAATGCAGTATTTTTGCAAAAAAGATTATCACTCAATGCTTCCCACTTTGAAAAACACCTGACAACAAGTCTATAAAAGAAGAAATGTGGAAGGTAGGTTTTGAAATAAAATATTAAGATCGGGGTCTTATTTCCGTCGTTAATTACAGCTTTGACTTTTTCTGTAAAGTCGGTTTTGTTGATACTTGGGATATAGTAAACAAATTCCATCTCATTGCCTGGTGAGACATGACTTGATTTTATTTTCTCCAATTCTGGCGTCCAAACTTTTGCAAGAATTCCAAGTTTTTCCATATATGGCATGATTTTGTCCTTATGAGTAATGTATGACTCGTTTTTATTTTTTCGCCATACCTCGCAAAGTGTCGAATCTGATATTCGTCCAGTTTTCATGAACATCTCCCATTCTTTAACTTTTTTGCAGAAAGGGCGCGCATGTGTAGGGTCTGTTATGATATTTTTAAAAGCATCAACAAACCACTGCACGTCCAATATGATAGTATCTCTTAGGTCCTCATCTAAAAAGTATATTATTTGGCCGATTTCATGATAAAATCGGAGCATATCGTTGATGTCATGGTCACTCAAGGATTGGAATTCGCTCAACTCTACTAAATCCTTTCTTTCCAAAATTCGTTTGTCCTTGTTTGCCCATACAAATTGCTCGAAGATTGACCATTTAACTGGAATTTTTTCACCCCACTGCGGTAGGCTTGTAGCAGTCTCCGCAATGCATTTTCTTACTTCTTCTATGGTTTCCGCTTGATGTCTTCTTAGCTTACCTTTGGGACATTCAGTTTCAAAGTAACGTTTAGGGGATAAATGGTCTTTCAATGTTTGTTCTTTTGGCAAACAGTGTTCTAGCTTATCGTAAAACCAAACATTTTGTGAGCTAGACATAGATTTTTTCTCTTTCATGGACTGAAATATAAAATAGTTCTAAATCAAAATGGAAGATACAAACAATATTCCTTGATTTTTGTTCTACATAATATTACGAGGCTAATGGAACATATACTCATCTAAGTCGACGAGCTTTGTGACAAGTTTGATTAGAGTTTAGAATCATGTAGTTAGAAAGAGATTTAAAAATGATAAGCCAATGATGGTAAAGCAGTGAATCCTAATTTCGACAACATTGCAAAGTAGTATTACATGTTACCGCTTATTCTTTAAAACATGTGCATTATTTTTTTTTGAAAAAGTATTATGTAAAATACAAGACGATAATCATAGACTTACAAAGCAATAATATACATACATACATACATACATACATATGTACATATACATATATATTATATATTATATATGGTACATTGTACCTTTACAAGGTCGTGATGAGAGGCTATAAGAATGACAGGATTGACCCCAGCTTTGTCTCCATATTTTTTCTTCAGTTCTTCGTCATCACAGTAAGTTCTTATCGATTGAAGCCAAAACACAAAGTATGCTTAAAAATGATAAACATTTTCAATGAACAACGTGTTATAAAATTCGTAAAGGAAGTAGGCAGTTACGTATTAATGATATAAATTAGTGAATATAAAAACAACTCCCCCCACATCTTCATGACTTATGGAGAATAGATCATGCATCAGAAACATAAAATGGACCTGACAACGAACATACAAGGAATTACGTTTATATGAGTGTAATTTTAGACAATATATCATACATAGGGTAGGCAAATAGTGTTGCTTGGCATCAAATGATATTTCACACGAAAAATTGTAATAGAATACGACTTTTAAACGACAATAAAAGTTTTTAGACACAATAAAGAGCCTATGACATACTATTTTGTCATCTGTAAGGAATGCCATCATCATTTTAATCAATACAAATTCAACAACACAAAGTAACTTTTTATAGTCTCGGGGTTTTATTTAAATACGGGCCTCTTTCAACAAAGACCATTTTTGAAAAATGACTGGGATACAATATCAACAGACGTACAGGTATTACCAAAGACTTCTTTTATCAAATATGATGACTTTTACATGAATATTTGTTAATGACATACATTTGTTATCAAGTTTAAAAAAAAGGATCATACTGAACGGAAAATGAAATCTAATTTTTACTCCATAAAAATTAAATGAAAAAATAATTACAAAATAAATGGAAAATTTAGAAAAATAGAATAAAAAAGAAGATAAACACTATTTTAGAGATATTGTTTTTCAAAATACAAACCCTTACAACTTCAACGGAAAGGTACTTGAAAAACAAATTAAGGTTATATCCTATATATATTTGCAAGTGTGAAAGGGCGAAAATAACACGGGGCGAAAATAACCCTGTATACAGTATTTATTATTTAGAGAAAGTTTGATTTATTTTCTTATATACTAAGTACCCACAATATGTTATAGTCAGTAAACATTATGACGTCATATTATGACCTCACTGTTCTTACCTACTGGAAGTTATAAAACACATCAACAAAACAGCCTCGGCGCAAGGGATTATCCTATCTAATATTCCATAAAAAATGTATAATGCCAAGAAGAATGTTCTATAGATTGATAAAACTACTGCACAAATCCTAGGCATTTTCTCATTTGATTAGAATTTGAAGAAACTTATACTGGACTGTACATTTTTACCCTGATTCCCTTAAAACTTACAAACAGTAATTAAACTTCTGATCTATTGATATTTGTGCAGCAATATCAGCAATCCTTGTAATATTTTGCTTCTATATATACCTTGTTTCAGTTAAATAAAATAGAGCATGCCCTTGCACCGAAGCCTTTTTGTTGATGTCCTGTATAATGTTGTGTAGTAAAGAACAGTGACATCATAATATGACGTCACAATGTGTTCTGGCTATATCATGTCATGGGTACCAAATATGTATTGGACACTAAGTTTTAATTTTCTCTGTTTGAAAGGTATTGTCCTTAGGAATTTAAATTAATATATTTCCATAGAAATGGCTATACCTAACCTTAACTCACTTGCGTACCTTCATACGTCCAGTTTTCGAACAAAGATCCAAGGGGATTATGACGTTCTTTTAAGTAGGGTTTTTCTTCCAAGTCCTTGGACATGTCTACAACAAGTAGGTAGAAAGCTCTTCTGGAGAGATAGATCTGATGACAGGCGTAGTAGGCAACTTGTCCAGCAAAGTCGGTCATACTCAGGAGTTTTTTGCCCTCGTGCAAATTCACTTGATACCCATCAGTTTCTTTCTGACGTTGACTAACATTGTCGGGAATATAATCTAAAATAGAGGTAAATTAGTAGTCAATCAATTATCAAGACAACTTTATCATAGATATTTCTACCTCAATTGATTCCTCCAAAAATTTATAAAATCACTAAGTGTATCAGTGATCACAAAAAGAATGTGAAAGAAAATAGAGAACATGCTACCCTGAAGTGTGTTATCCTCAACCAAAAAAATATTGTCATGAACTTCAAGCCCTATCGTTGTTGGTGTACATTTGAGATTGTCCTTTCTATTTCGACGCTGTAGATGATTCAACAGAGTTGTCTTTCCTGACCCGGCACATCCTACAATCATACCTCTAGCGCGGTGCATTTTTATGTTTCCTGCTTTGAAGTTTACAACATATCTCTGCCTTCCTTCTTCTGTCCATTTCAGTACTTCTTCAGGGATATGCACTGAAATTATAATCATTGAAGATATGCATTTGGATTTGAGATATTAATTTAGGAGTAACCATTACTTTCTGATCTACATAATATTAAGAGACTTACAATACTTGCAAATATCTTTATGGATTAGTGTATCACTAAATGTGCTGTGGGTCAGGATATCTATATCCAGTTTTTGTATCAGTTCCTCATTGTATTCCAAAGGGAGGCAAATGCACATCTCATTTTCCTTAGATTCATATCCGTTAGATCTAAAGTATTTCGCTAAACATTTAGGCGTGTTCTCTCCCGCCATGAAGGAATAATAAACAGCACATTGCAAGAGCGTGCTTTGCCTTTGGTTGAATTTGTCTGAAAAATTATAAAAATAAAAGAGTCAGAATGATTACTAAATACACTGTAAAGCTATTTAAAAAAGATAAAAGAATACAAAACAAAAGAAAAGAACTCTGACTAACATACAGGGCACTCTTTCATAAATACTGAAGCATATATAGGCACTCTTTCATAAATATTGAAGCATATATAGAGTGGGATAAAAAAAATCTAAATTATGCATACATATTTTGTGCAACAAGGGTTTTTCAAATATACATAGGATTTCGTAATAACATTTTTAATGAAAGTAACATTATAACCCAAATTTGTCGACATAGTTAAACGATAAATACGAATTAATTTAAAAAGAAAACAAAAATCAAATATATCATGACGACATAGCAAAGATAACAAACTGTGATCGATCTAAAAATATGTTCATAAGAATACATATTTTAGAACGGGGCATTAAACAAAGTACCCTGCAAATTTTAGATGTGGGATCAGGGGCCTATGACCAATTGCAAAAAAAAAAAACAAAAAAAAAAAAAAAAAAACGATTTCTAATTTGAAAGTATAGAATAAAGCCAAGAAGCAGGGTTTTTTTTTTGTTTTGCTTAACCAACAATGCACGGAATAATACTGTAATGATAATTTTGTTAAATGACAATGGATTTGAGAAACTGGCATTGCCTAATGTTTCTTGCGTTATAATTTTGTTAAGATTGCACAGTAGTGACAAAACATATTGTTTTCATATATAAGCAAGACGGTGTCGTTTTGACGAAATAAAATGAAATGTACTCATCGAGAAAGATATATTCTTAAATGTGATAAAATGATGGTCTGATATTTCTTAAAAATGATATGACAAAGATCGATTTTGTCTCCTTATCTTTGAATGACTCTCGATGTACATAAATCAACTTTTGGTATGACATATAAAATACTTAAACTCTTTACTTTATTTCCATATGTTCGAAGACACTATAATCGATTAATTATCTGAACAGGAACTTACAGCCTTCTTTCTTCATCTGCAGAAGGTCATATTTCTCTTTTTCGGACAATGTTTGTGCATCTGATTCCCTTATGTATTTCTCAATGAGAAATACTCTGAAGTTTTCACATAACATGTCACACAAAACAACACATGTTTCATCTTTCTGTCTTTCATAATCTGGCGTTCTGAAATAGTTTTGAACAACATCTCCTCTCTGTGTCTTAAACAACCACATTATTGTCTCAAATGTATTGTGGTTTTGCATTAGAGCCCACACAGTTTGTAATTCAACATCCATATTCAGAAAAGAAACTCCTTCTTCATCAACATTTAGACTTCTACCAGATAAGTCCGAAGCTATTGTTTTATATTCGTCCACTGATATTAAGTGTTTGTGTTTCATTAGCTTTCTTATGTCATCCAAAAGACTGATGTGTGCTACGTTATTCCAGGAAATCTTCCCTCTATTGCTCAAAAGGATTCCAAAATGCAGAAGGCGACGAACATCGTCATCTTCAAATTGTCCAAAAATTTCTAAATTAACTGAAAAGAGATACATGTGAAATGTGAATTATGCCTGCATGAATATGAAATGTTAATCTGCAAATTTCGAGTTAAACTCTTTCATTAGGGAGGGAAGTTTTGTTTCTACGTAAACCGGCAGTTGGGACAATTTATTTATATTGGGTACCTTACATCATCGATATATACCGATCTATCATAAATGTTTGTCTATATGCATTCATCAGTTCAAAACTTACCGAATTTAAGTAAGGCGACATTTTTTTCTACAAAAAAAAAAAAAAAAAAAAAAAAAAAAAAAAAAAAAACCGAAAAAAAACTATCAGTGGATAAGACTTACCAAACGAGGGAAGAGATATGAATCTCTATTAAAAACACACACATCTTATCATTGCACATCGGCATTCTGAATGATACACCGACTCTTTCCCTGATATTAATTTCAGAGATTCCACTAAATATTTAGAAAAGGTTTGTACAATCAAGGAAGCGTCTTTGATTTCAGAAAGAGTTTGACGGTTCTTTTGTTTTCAAGTCTTATAATTGAAAGTAGATGTTGTAAAACACGTAAAGTGTAGCTCAATATAATCATCAAAATTATAACTGCTTGCCATGATATACATGTATAATCTTTCTGTAACATTATATACATTTTGAAAGCCCTACCCATTGTTCATTTATTTATGCGCGTTTGTGTACATGTACATCTACAAACTGTCCCACTACCATGCTGATTTGGACACTTTTTGCGCCTCCATCGTTGGAGAGCTACAATTTCGAAATTTATTTAAGAAATCTATTTGTTGCATACTCAGAAATAAATATCTGAACATTAAGTCTGTACCATACCTTTACAATAGATAGTACAATGATCAAGTCGCTGTATCTTACCATTAGTGAAGACTTCTGCAGATTCCTCTTTTTCTATAATGACCAAATTGTAAGTTCTGTTAACAGGAAAGATAGGGAAGATGATATTGTCCATTTTGTGAACTTTCTCTGATTGTGTCTTGTCTTTTTCAACTTTCATATTTGGTCCAATTAATTTTACTGCTTCAAAGTCTATTCATAAAATGAAGAAAAAAATAACATACACACAGAATCACACAGAGCATATTTGCATTCGAAAATTAATGAGCATTTAAAATGATAATTATGTACGTTTGCTTTATTCGTTTAGTTACAAAAAGTTGGTTTTAAGAAGAGTATTCTTTTCCGCATTCCGTCAAACTTACGAATTTTTGTTTTATGGATCTCAATAGTATTTCCGGTTTTTTCTTCCTCCCAGGAAGCATGATATGAACCAGAATCCTCAAGTGTCAATTGGAAAATATAGAGAAATAAATAGTGTTTATCCCTATCAACCTCTGACTGGCACATGTATTTGTTTGCATTATTGGAGACATTTATTTCCTTATCGTCTTTGTACCATTTAACATCAACTGGTGTATAAGTTGTGGTCACACGTATTCTCAAATCATTTCCATACTGGCGCACTAAAACTTCATAAACCTTTCTGTTATCTCCTTTAATGATGTAAAATACAAATGAAATAAATATACATGTAAATAAGTAAATTTTTTAAGGGTATCTACAGTGCATAATTATCTATCAATAAATCTGGTAAAAAGCAAAATGATTTTTATTCAATAGTAAAATCTGAGATAAAAGCAGAAATCTGATTGACACCATGCCTATTATAGATATTTTGAAAAAAATCTGCCTCCCTTTCTTTTCCCGTGCGATAACCGATAAAATGCGTGACCTCATAATTCTGTTCAAAAGCCGAGCAACAGTTAGCGAGAGGGAAAGAGAGTCAGGACTCCGGGACGCTTAATATTTTAAACAAAGAAATACCCATTTTTCTGTAAGTAATCAATGCTCATCATTTTTTCTTTATATGCCAACAGAGCGTTACTTATATATTAAAAATAAATTGATCTTACGTCTTAATTAAGAGAGAATGAAAATATATCTGGTAAGATATACAATTTTAAAAGTTTTTCAGGAGTTAACAATCTGTTTTAAACACCGATCTATAAATATACATTGCAGAAAGTTGAAAGTCTTTATCGTGGTATCATACAAAAAAATTTATATTATCAATTTTATGACAAAAGTTAACTTCATCATATATAAAAAAAATTATAATTCTTTTGTGTATTATTAATATCAAGTCGAAAGAAAAAAAATAACTAGTTGAAGATAACGAAACGTGATCAATCTCATGAAATCTACTAACTTTACTAAATTGTGAATAGGCATAAAATATGGACCCCCTTGAGAATAAAGATTTGGTATCAGGTGCCTAGAAGAAAGCAACCCCTGTTATCCGGTCACATCCGTCGTGAGATCTAGGTAATGAAATGAAAAGTGGATATTCCGTTGTCAAACTTAGTATAAAAGCAGTCGCCTACTTTGCGCAGTGGTAGAGCGTCTGCTCTAGTGTCGCAGAGGAAAGAGTTTATCCTTACATCGGGGGTTGGAATCCCACTGTGGGATGTGTAGACTGATCCTTCGAATGAGACCGTATAAACCGAGGTTCGTGTCGCAGTAGGTGCTGGCAAGAAACTGTTCAATGGCCCTGAGTGCCGACTATAAGTAAAAAAAAATGCAGCTCTCCACCGGCAAGTGGTGGAGTCTCCGTATGCATGAAATATTCTTGAGAGGGACGTTAAACAACAAACAAACAAGTATAAAAGCAAAGGCCTTACATTTAGTATGAAACATCAAATTATGCATGTGTAACTTACTATGTTTTCTGTGTGCTGCACTTCTTTCGTCTTTTGTGAATACAATATCTAAAATAATTTGAAAAATAAAATACATATTAATTTTAATCTTTGATAAAGTAAAATATATATTTTAGAATACCTTTCCAAAATAAAATACATTTATGCTTTAGGTCTTACAAATATAAAATCTTATTAAAGACATCATACCTCGTTTGTGTTCTTCTTCATCTTCTTTCCATATAGCGGTATACAGCCCCGAATCTTCTTTTGTTGTGTTGTAAACATACAGATAAATATGTCTATCTTCTACATCCTTTCCATGACAAATGGATAAGTATTTTTCAGAGTCGCGCAAACAATCTATATCCACACCATCTTTTTGCCATCGTATAATATCGTCATCTGGGGGAAGATGTGTCGTCACTCGAATATGTAAATTTTTGCCCTCCTCTTGCACTGGTAATAAAAAGTTTGCATTTTTAATTTTCTGATGTTTAAAAGAAAAAAAGGTTGATAAAATGCATTTCACTTGTATATATTATGTTTTTTTTGTCTCATAAGACTATTATTCATTGTGTCATGTAGTATGCTTTGTAAACATGTAATATTCACTTGAAAAGAAATTGTTTCACAGAAATAAATAAACTTAGAATATTATTCTGGTCTGACATTTTTGTTTAAATCATATCAACCCAATTAAGCATTATCCTCTAGGAGTACCAATTGGATAAAATCTGTTTAGAATCTGTAATAGTGAAACGTATTTTAACTTTTATAGCAAAAGATGTTTTTATAACAATCGCATTCAATCTTTGTGTTTTAGGTCATCATCACCTCAATGAGAATATGGAATTTAATTTTCATTTTCATACTTAACCTTCTTGCCTTTGATTCTTCATTATTAAATTCTACATCTTGAATAAATTGAATAAATATAGATATACATGTATTAGAAATTTTACATAAAAGTTTCCTTAATTGAAATAAGTTTCATACCTTCAATATCAGGATGAGTGAATTGGTGATGAGGCCAGTGTGTCTCTAGGAAAAAAAAATCGTTAAATTGTTAAATTTATTCCTTCTGTAATGAAAATAAAAAAAAATCACCTTATTGTACAAAACATAAAATAAGATGTTTTGATGATAAAAGGATTCTTGTCTGTTTTAAAAAAGTTAGGTTTTTAGATGTTTTCTTCAAAGATGTTGTCTTCTAAGAACTGGGTTATTATAAGGTCTGTTTTACCCTGGGTATTATGAGGCATTGAATTAAGAAGTAGAAGGAACCAGTTGAAATCAGCCTGATGATATCAAGAAAAAAAAACACCTTTAATTTCTGTGATTAAAAGGGGCCTGGAAATAGTTGTTCTGCTGCTTTATTTACAATTTTGAATTTCTACTTTTATTCAAAATACTAATTTCAGTTTAATAATGGAACTGGTATGAACATTCTAAAAATTCAATAACAACAACATTGTTATTGCCAGTGTTTACTTTTTACATGGGGAGTACAATTTATTTACTCTGCGCAAATCACTGAGCAGGGACTGACAATACTGGTGAATTGGTATTGCTTTCTCTCCTTTCTTCTTTGAAATATCTGAATTATAGTTGGAATATTTTTATTTAATGCAGAACCAATTTCCAACTTTTCTTTACTATTAAGAATCAAATTTTTTCGTGAAAGTATAAGGATGCGTGTCAATCAAACGCGTCCCAAAATTCATAGTTTTAATAATATCCAACAAAGAAGTTTCTAAACACACTGAAATATTCTAGCAACATATAAATAATTACAGTAAAATTGTCTAATCCGGACAACATTGGTTCCAAATAAATTGAACGGTTTGGAAAATATTCCGGATTAGAAAACATTTCAAACAATTGAATTAACTAAAAAGGACTTAAAGCTTACATCGTATTAGGCACGATTTAGGAATACACAACACCCTGATTAGACAAAATTCACTGTATAATTATTATAATGAGCATTCTAGAAAATTTTAATCTAAAATATATGACCATGCCCCCTTTAGACCTGCGTACTAAAAAATATTATACCATTTTAAAGAAATTAAACCACAGTTAAACTTACTTCCATCCTGGGAATGTCTTCTCTTATTCTCTTTGTCTGAAAATAAAATAATTCCATTTTGTTGTTCTATTTAACAGGTGGCTAAAAATAGAACAAATGATTTTTCAATAATTTGTAATACCATATTTAGCATTGTATTAAATTTTAATTTTCATGATCAACCTTTGGCTTGTACACCTAACTAGATTTTTGATTCCAATCAAAATGGAGATTGCTTTAATTCATCTTCAAATGGCATAGGAGGTTAACATTATTGATATATTTTCATTTTTTGAAATGCCTTTAATTATTCATCTGCATGTAATGTTTCAACCGAATAGTGCACTTTAAGCAAACAGTTTACTATTAATCATGCTGATCACAAGAAAAAGACTTATTTATTAAGAATATATGTTTGTTTCCATTAAATTGCATTAATTTGATATATCTCTGCACGGACATAACTAGTTTTACCGTACCATGTGACATAAGTCCCATTTCTTCAATGCTTGGTTCAAATTCCCTTTTTCGCTTTTGCCACCATTTTTTGTAAAACACGAAGAACACTAATAACACAAGTGCTATGACAGCAAGGAAACACAGAATCCCCACAACTAGTCCGATCGGTATACCATATTCACCTTCTGATGTTGGAGGATTAGTGGTGGAAGAAGAACTGTTAAGAAGGATGTTTGGCACAATCGTTGTATTTGGTGTATAAGACTCAAATGCGGACGTAGGAGTCCTAGTGGAAAAGCTTTATATAAAAAACGTAATTAACAAATTACGTAATCAGCAAAGTTAGACAAATAAATGGTAGAACAATAATTGAAATATGAACACATGCAGTGCATAAATATACATCTTGTGATATTAACTGATGTAGTGGATATAAATTATACCTCGATATGCACGCTGGATCAGCAAGAAAACAATTATTGTCCTTGTCTATCTGTTGACATCTTGGATCTTGGTATGGAAAGATTAGGAAGATTATAATGTTTCTTTTTAATATTATTTATCATGATGGTCAATCATAATATTTATGTTGCTCATGTTAACCGTATGTTTGGACAAATGTAGAAAGTAAAAAAGAAAAGTTAGATAACCATTTTTCAATTTCAATGCTGTTTTAATCCTCTTAAGTAGATTTTTATTTTGATTAATCTGTTAATCAAAGATATAATTATAATTTGGTATAAGGTTTAAGCTTTAATTTTCCAAAGATTATTCTTGATTTCAGTGTCTAAACTTCCATTCTACTTACATCAACTTACATTGATATATATTGTTGCTTAAATAATACGAAGTAGGGCAGCCATCTATAAAGAAATGGCATTCCTCTTGATTCAGGTATCCCGACGTTGATAGGTGTAAACAAAATCCTTAAAATAGTCAGATTATCTTGATAAATAATAAATAAAACCGAATTCATATAAGTATGTCTCTCAACTACATGCACCTTTACCCTACATGCTTGACATTTTATTTCTTCAAAATCTTTCTTTTTAGAAGTTAACTAAGGCTCTAGAAGGATATGCACCGGAATTATTAGGATTGATTATAATTAATTAATTAAATAATAAATAATTACTATAAAAGTAATTATTGTTTCGTTATACAGTTATTTTTTTTTTTCCAAATCCAAGTTTAATATTAATATTTCAATGTTTGAACTAATAAGTTATTGTTGTTATTGAGATGTATATTTTAAAACTTGGAATTTCTACATATTTCTGCATATTCCAATGCAAAGTTTCGCTTCCCTTTAGTTGCCTAACTTAAATCTCATAGCCCATGCTCATTCTGAATGACCGGAAGATACCTACATCTTAAACAGGACATCACCAATCATTCACATCGCATAAAGAATTTTATTCTTAATGTTCCTTTTAATTTTCTTTTTAATAATTCCTCCGTTATGGCCCCATTGGGAAATGATTTGAACAAACTTGAACATCTGAAGATGAACTAACCGAGGATGCTAATAATCAAGAAGCTTTTTGCCAACAACATGTGCAACTGGCGAAGTGGTTAAAGTCAAAGCTTCGTCCTGATATCAGACTGATCAATAGATAGACCTCCCACGCTACGTTTTCTGATACAAACCATTGCATAGTGAACTAATGTTCAAAATTAAGATAATAGATCAAGAAGCGACCTCGCAATTTTAAAGCATGGCTCACGCCAATACAAAAGCTAAAAATTCACTGCCATAGTTCAAGTGCCACTGTAAAGTGCAATTGCTTTATACATGTAATCCATGGATTCATGCTTGATTGAAATGAATTAAAGTTTTTTTTTATTTACAAATAGTTATGATGCTAATTTGCATAGATAGGTCACTTTTTAGAAGTAGTTACCATTCTGTACGAGACCTAGAAATTCGTCATAACAGAATTCCAGAAGAGTCGTTTTCTCTTGATTTGGAACACAGAAATAGGAAGGATTTTTATTTTGATCTAAAGGGCACTTCAGTCTGTCTGCAGCAGAGTTCCGGGAATCGATTGTTGTTGGACAGTAATCCACATTGGTCACAGGGAATCGATACCGAGCATGCATCTATTGATGAAAAAGTCAAATAATAAATTCTCAAAGATAAACATATTTTTTTTAGTTTGGTGAACTTAAATGTTTTCATACTTATAATTTTTGAAAGTTGAATATTGATATGCTGGCTATTTATTGCTTTTGAAGTGAATGAGTTTTCCACATAAAATGACTCACCTGCTTTTTACAATTTATGAATTCACATAAGAAAATAAAAATACCTCCTTGAAATTGTAGAATATAACAAAAGTCAGAACTCGGTTCATCCTAATGCGTGTGCACCACACAATACTTTGTACACAGCCTAAGCATAACAAGGGAAACATTAATGAATAATAGTGGATTACAACTGAAAATTAGCCAATGCTTACCTAGTATTTTAAAATTTCATTTTCCATCAAGAGAAAACCCAACGTAAGATATGAATTCTAAAATAACTCAAGGTAGTATAGATATTATTATACTCTTTTCCCCTTCAAAACGAAAGTAGAACAAAAATTTCCTCACAACAAAGAAAATTGCCCAAAAAATCTTAGAAACAATTAGGATATTTCATTAACATTACAGATAATAAAGAATTATCATATCAATTATCTGTTGATGTATACATGAGAATACGAAGTAAAACCAACCATTTTGTCACGGGATCTCACTTCCTGTCACAGTGTTTACATACACTTACATTTTTAAGTGGCACATATATCCCGCAAGTAATGAATCGCATCTGTGTATTTTTTTTTATTGCGAAATGAAGTGCTTCTTTTTTTCTTATTTTGTATTTTATGTGAAACGCTGACATAACAAATGCTTCACAAGACGTGTTTCAATATGTAAATAACTAGATTTAAATCAACCTCCAGATAAAGTAGATGATACATGATTGTTGCATGAATTCACTTGAATATTTAAAGAACTAGAATTTCTGTGTTTATTTGAAAAGATAAAATTACCACTTGATATTTTGAAAACCTTCTTTATCAAGGTTGTTTCAAAAGAAATCATTTATTGCCTGATTGAGTAGATAACAGATCGAAAAAAAAATACGAACTAAATAAAACTGAATGGTTTAGACTAAGATGCTCAGGTAATTGTGGGCTAATGGTGTTTTTTCTCTCTTATCTGTTAATGCTGAAATGCCAAATATATATATTCCTTCTCAATACCAAGGCGATATGAGAATTAATCAAAAAGTTAATTGATGATTATAAGGTAACGGTAAAGAATGCATGTTTAGGGGTGTAAATTTAACTTAACGGTGTTTTTTTTAGTAAGAGTACAAATAAATTTAAGCATGTATGATTATATATTACTAATTTTAATCACATTATTTAATTTTTCGTAGAAATGTAATTTCTCAATAGACCTCTACATTCAATAATTCTGGATATTCTTATCTTTTCAGACGATCCATTTCTTGAAATTTCAATCTATTGGTGGATTATTTCTTGTTAAATGTTAATTTAATATAAAACTACCTGTAAATAAATATGTTTAAATTGGAAACTGGCAACCAATTTAGCTCAAACATTGTACTAGAGTAAGTACTGAATATATGTTTTTTTTTTTCTTTTTTTATCAATGAAAAAGGCTTTGTAAATACATGTACTTTGATAAGCAAATATATTGTACGTTCTTGTACTTTCATGTCAAAGTATTTGATACTAATTTCTTTGTAAATAAAAGTGTGATTTTACAAAGAGAGACTGTAGGTCTGTTTAGTATGTTAATTATCCATGTTTTGAGGAAATCCGTTCCTCAGCTAGAAGCGATAACTCTTACAACTATTATTCAATGTCTGAAAATGAAGCTTCAAATTGAAATCTTTTCATGCGACACTTTTCATTTCATGCATCTAAAAATGATTCAAGGTTGTTTGAACATTTAGAAAAGGTTTTGTAGAAAAGTTGACATTTGTACCACATAATAGTGAAAATATAAATATAATGTTTACAGACATCGAAATTCCTTTCATCTAGGCTTAGATACAGTTAGGTACCAATGCATTCGAACATGAAATAAGACATATGGGATGCTTTTTACACTTCATGTATCATACAACAAATGAGAGAAATAGAACTAAAATACCAAAGTAGCATTAAAAAACGTACAATTTTCACAGAATGCCTGAATACCTATACATGTAATTTTTTTTTTTACCTCTAAAATATATTTCATGATCAATTTTTAGTTGAAAATGCATAGCTGGTGCTTTTATTTGCCTTTCCTTTGCCTTTTCTGAAAACATATTTAAGACCTCATAATTTTCCCTATATAATATGATTAACTATACCAACGAACTGAGAAGAGATGCATGTACCATTGGTAAATACACATATGCCTTCTTTTGTGAATATAGAAACAGTTTCAAAATAATATGCGAATAAATGAATCATATCTATATTTATTTCAATATCAAGAATTTGCATGTTAGAGTTGAAGAACATGGAATAAAACAATTTCAAATTCGTTGTTAAAAGTTTCTTGTTAATAGCATTTTTGAGAGTTCCATTGTTAACTGAGACCTCAGTACCTGTCTTCAATTTTTTTTTTAGATCATTTTATCAATTTAAGTACCAAATAAGGTACAAATAAATGCATTATTATTATTATTATTATTATTATTATTATTTGTTCATAGGAACACAATGAATGAATGAATGATAATCTGTATAAAAATGAAATAAGTAATTATTATTGTGACATTTTTTATATTTATCATTTTATCATAATCCCTTTAAACCAAAGATGCACTAGATTTTCCAGACATCAATTGTAACGTAAAAGAAAGCATAACGATTAAGTAGGCATACGCTCATAGGATTGCAATTGGGGGTGTCACTCTCCATCAATGTTAACGGGGAAATCATTTAAGAAACAAGATATTTCTAATATTCATATTTGTATTTTGATTTCTGTTACAATAAAAAAAAATCTTTAGACTTCATCATGTAAGTCCAATTCACATTTTGTACATGTACCACGTCTAAAAGAGAGACATACATGTATATTTGCTACCGATGAGTAACTATGGGGTTCAACAATAACACAGATTACAAAAAAAGCTATTTGAAACATTAATACTCAATTTTCAACTCATGTACCGGTCACGGAAGCATAGTGGTATGACGTTAGCTTTGTGATCGGGAGGCCCGTGTTCGATTCTCGTTTGCTGCGTCAAACCTAAGATGTACAGTACCGACCAGAGACAACCTAACAGAAAGCGAACCCTAACCGAACCCCGGGTTTCTGAACGTAAACTAATTTTCCCGTAAATTACTGTTCCCGGCCCGAAATAATTTTAACAATCCTTGTTCACATAGCTATTAGAATATTTATGTAAGTAATAAACAAACATAAAAAATTTCCTCTAGAAAGATTGCATTGCAAATTTTCATCTTGCTGAGTTCTCGCTTAGTGATATTTCTATGTAGAAAATACATCTAGGGTTAAATTCTGGTAAATTCTGGTAGTTCTGGTTATTTTATTTACGTCCTCCGTTTGTCACTTACATGCTTCCAATCGCCACTGTGCAACAAAAAGAACAATTTGAACTACTGTACTGTATATTTGGAATATTCAAGGCTTACAAGCGGTAGGATAAAGCGGGATCCGCTTCACGCTTGACTGAAAGGGAACGCCGGGTTCGCTCTAGCGGGCCCAGAGCTGACCCCAAGCGAACGCGTAGCGAACCCAGAGCGCACCTAATATTTTAAATAGTGGACCCCGAGCGAACACAAAGCGAACCCGGGACTCGCTTTTGGGGTTCGCTCCGGTGTCTGGTCGGTACTATAAACATAGGAAGTCACTGTTCCCTCACTTCACATTAGAAGTGAAAATCACGGGTCTTTCGAATAAAATATTAAACATTGAGGTTATGGTAGGCGTTCGTACTCACTTATGAATGTTTTCTAGTGTCGAGTATAGGTCTAAATTGCAAGCCCTTCACCGGCAAACGGTGACATCTCTATATGAATGAAAAATTCTCGAATGTGAAGTTAAACATTTCTCAAACGTATTTTAAGACTTGCAAAAATATAATTAAATGAAATTAGTTAAAAAAACACTTAGTCTTGATCTATGTATTTATTGAGCAGATGAAATATTATCAGCTGATCGGGCTCAAGGTCTTATCTTTGGCTCGACCTCGTGAATTTTGAAATCAGGCAGGCTATACCTAAACAATGTTGCATCATTATCACATTAAGGAAGAATTCATATATGTAGTAATTCATTGGAGTGAAATATGGAAATAACGAACAGTATTCAAGCTCAAAGTCCATTAAAACAATGCAAATTGGGAGCAGAGGAAACACAGACCTCCAAAAAAATCAGGGGTGAGATCAGGTGCCATGGAGGAATGATCATCCCCTGCCTTTTTTATAAAAAAAGAAAACAAATATGACACATTAATTGTATCTTAACTTCAAAGTATTTCATATATATATTAAAAACGAAAGTAGAACAATAGTTCCCAAGCAACAAAGGAAGCAATGCAAAAGTCTTTAAAACAATTCAGGTATTTCGTTAACCTTACCGAAAATTGAAAATTGTTAATTGTTTCGATAATTCATTAACGTATACAATTAAATACGGAAGTTAACACCAACCATTTTGTCACTCGATCTCACTTCCTATGAGTGTGTTTACAATCACTAAAATTTTCAAATGACACATGTATAGCCTACGTAATGAATTCAATCTTACTGTTTTTGATACGAAATGAAGTTGTTTTGTTTTTACTTTCTGTATTAAATGTGAAAAACCGAGAAAGCACATGTTTCATATGACGTGTCCTAACATATAAATAACTAGGTTAAAATCAATAATCTGATATCCTAGTTGTCAAATGTTTGTTGCATGAATGCACTTGAACATTTAAACACTTGAATGTATGTGTCAACTTTGTTTGAAAAGGTATAAATTTTCTGTTGTATGAAAATGGCCAATTAACCTTAGATTTAATGGAAATCTTCTTTCGCAATTTTTATTTTTATTTATTTTGTTTTATTATCAAATCAATTTATGGCTCGGCTGAATAGAAAACATACATAGAGAATTAAAAATTCGAACTGAACCATACCTTTTATGGTTTTTAAAATTCTTAAAATCTTTCACACGATCGGCGACACAGGGAATAAAAACTTGGGATTCTGCAAATTTATGGTACATTGTAAATGTTGCAAATTTGATTAAAAAAAACAAATATGGTAAGGGAAGACGCTAAAAACTCATACAAAGAGTTGTGTCTTTTCTATTGCATTTATACAGGTAAGGTACCCGTGTGTGCTTG